AATTCTAATTTATATTTTCCCTCAATGTAGTCGAGAAGTAGTATGTGATACATCTCAAATATTTGCTATGCTATTATTTAAAAATATTGACTCCTTGAGTAATAATTATCACCGCTTATGTCCTTGATTCTTTTTAGAAATCAGTTTTTCATCGATTTTAGTTTAATTTATTTTTTAATAAATCACATTCTTTAACTTTACATTTGAATAAGGCTGTGCCGTTTGCCGTAAGGTTTCTTTTACAAGTAAGGTTTATTTTTCTACTACAGCTTTTATAACTCTATATTTAATGAAGTTGTTGATAAGAAAAAGCGGGCAATCAAATATCTTAAGAGGGGTATGTGAAATATTTTGAAGAAGGTGGAAGGCAGCTCTAATGCACGCATAACGAACGCAGTGGTAAGCGATATAGCACATGTTCCAAACAAATTTGCTTTCTCAACTTTTAAAAGTGACAGATGTCTTTTTATATTAAGCCACTCATACGTGTTTTCTATTTTCTTTCTTTTTCATTTTGTCACAGCAGCGCTTGGACGGATAAAGCTAGTAATAAAATAAAATATGGCGTATGCTAAAAACTTTTTTATATAATAGAGAGATGACAAAAATTGTTGGACAAGACATTTGTTTTCTCGGGCTTCGTTAAAATAAAAAATAAGAAAAACCATGTTATTGACAAAGGGAGCAGAACTGAAATATAGAAAATAATATGCAGTTTCCATGATGTTAACGACTTTCCCGAAACGTTAACTCTATATTAATGCGTGACTAATAAAGTGAATTTATGTCACTACGAAAGTTTCTTTTGTCGAGCTCACCAGAAATATACTAAAACCTCCCAACAAAAGAGAGACGCCATTAGTGGTGCCAATCTACTTTAGGAGGAGAATTACTCCCTTTTTTATAGAGTGCATATGATGGTTATAGTGCAGGAGCGTCATCTTAATATGTGACGAATCATATGGGAAAACAATGTTCATTTTCTGAAATTCTTTAAACGCAAAAATGGATCAGGGAGGCGCGTTTTCAACAGGATTAATTAGTCAATATACAAAGTAAACCACAAGCACCCCAAATCGGAAGCGGATTCAGGATTTAAGTTTCAAGAAAGGGGAGAGCCTTTTTTATAATGGTAGTTAATGAGGAAGAAATAACAAACAGTAGTTGAAGATCAATTATGTTTTATGGATAATTTAATAATATTTTTTTCTTGGTATGGGCTTAAGTATCAGAGTTGGGCCAAAATTATCCGACTAAATTGAATAAAGAGACTAAAATACATTAAGGAGCGAATGACAACTAAATTTTAATTCGCAAAAAAATATTCACGACTAATGAATTATTTTGTATTCGTTAGTCGCGACTAATATAAAACGAATCATAGGAAAAACATATTTTTTTTTAAGTCACTTCAAACGACTTAAGCCTAAAACTTTGTGGTCATTGAGGGTGTAATTTCCAAATAAAAGATATCGTTGGCACCATGTTTAAATAACTTAAATAAAAAATCATATTTTTCAATTTCGTCCGTTTACCATAGTATTCCAAGTCCCTCCTTGTGGCAAAATGTCGAATCTGAACGGCGACCGGAAAATCTAAATCAGTAATGTTATTTTTACGAATTGATAATATTATTATGAAAAAAAGTTGATCGGGTGGTGCGGTCAAATAAATACTAAATTAAACAAAAAGTATTATTTAATTTTTCCGACGTTTCGACCCACTTTGCAGGTCTTCTTCAGAGCGTAGGATGTAGCACTGCGGGAGGCAGTAGAAACACTACATTATTATAAGTCGAAACACCCTAATATTATTATATTTACATGTCATAATAACAAATAATTATTATCGACAGTTTATATTGGGCAATTTCACATTCGTTACTTAAACGTGGTGCCGACGATATGTTAAATTGTTTATAATTTTTTTAAAAATTAATTTTCCTCTAACAGCCCTTCAATTTGTTTAAGTAGATATTGAATTATGTTCGGCCTTAAGACAGATTTTGTTATGAGGTTTTTATTTTGTTGAAATCTGCTTTAGTTTAGTTCAAATCTAATTATAAAAAAAATAATACCTATTTATTACAAAAAATATAGTTCGATTTTGAAGAAATTACTCAAGACTTTCACCGACATTTTCAGTTCCAGCTGATGAAACCGCTTCTTCTCAATTAGAAGCACGAAGTTTTTTTTCAGATAAAAGTGCGAATAACTTAGAAAGTCTGGAATGTTTTCCAGCAATGATAGTGGTGTTTCTGGAACATAACACTCATTTTCCCTCCTCTGCTCCCGTTGATAGACTTTTTATGTTGGGCCATAATCACTAATCAGGACAAAACAAATATGTTGTTTGATGATATTTTTGAATTAAGGGTTGTATCGAACACAAATGCCGATTTTATTTAAGAACCTTCCTAAATTCATTCATCAATATGTTTCATCAATTACTGAAAATTATAATATTCCGTGAGTTGGATGATGGGTCCCGTAATACTTTATTCTTTTTGTTCTCCTTTATTGAATGGTATCGATCATGACCAATCAGTATGCTGAGTGATATAGCTAGTCAACACAGTTGAGCAGCCTAAAAATTTTATTGTGCTTCTCCCAATTTACATCATATTCCCAAAATCACATATTTTTTTTTTAACTATGAAAGATTATGTTGAAAAGAATTTTGGAATAAATCATTTTTTTAATAGTTATTATTTTCATATTAATATTTCTTCTCTTTTTTTTCTTCTCTCTTCGTTTAAATTATATGTACTCATAAATAATTTAGTAATATAGGAAGTAATTGTTTATCATATTAAACGTTAATTATTTCTCAGGATAGATGATATATGAATAACTTCTAATTTCAAGGTATTTAAAATAATTTTCTATTTTTAGACCATTTATCAAAAATATTTGGGTGGTTTTTGTACAGGAATAAAGTATAGGGCATTTGTTTAATAAAAAAATATAAAGTTTATGGAGATAAGTGTAGTATTATATTTATTTACAGAAGGTATAAATTAATTGGGAAAGGTATTGCAAATCTTTGGAGTTCTGAAGAATTTAACAGCTTCTTAATGGTGAAGAAGTGTGGGAAAAAGGAATAAATATTATGGAGCAGGCATAGTTGAAATTCAGGTACTTCGTTATAAAGAAGTTTAGTGGTGGAGGAGGGTAGAGCCAAGTCCGTATCCACCATATCCATAACCGAGACCGTAGGCAGACCTGTATCCAAGACCGTATCCGTAGCTTCCGAGACCGTAGGCAGACCTGAGACCGAGACCGTAGCTGACTGGAGCATGTGCAATAGTAGCTACAGCTGGGGCGTGAGCTACAGCGGCGACTGGAGCAGCGTAGGAAACTGCTGGAGCATGAGCTACGGTGGCAACAGCTGGGGCAGCATAAGAGACTGCTGGAGCGGCGTAGGAGATAGCTGGGGCAGCTACTGCGACAGGCTTGTTGACGGTTCTGTAGGAGCTAGAATAGGAAGTAGCGACTGGAGCATGGGCAACAGCAACTGGAGCGTGAGCTACGGCAGCAACAGCAGGAGCAGCATAGGATACAGCTGGAGCGGCATAGGAGACTGCTGGAGCGGCATAGGAGACTGCTGGAGCATGGGCTACGGCGGTAACAGCTGGGGCTGCGTATGAAATTGCTGGAGCATGTGCTATAGCAGCGACAGCTGGAGCGGCATATCCGTAACCAGCACCATAGCCGTATGCGGCTCCATATCCAGCACCGTACGTAAGAGCTGGAGCGGCAGCATAGCCTCCGATGTAGCCAGCTCTGGCACAGGCGATGAGGGCGAAGATAGCGGCCTGGAAATGTAATAACGATGTTAAATATTAGGAAGATAATTTTTATTCTTAATAATACTCAATATTAATTTCTTTCAATTTCAAAATTATTTCCATTGCTGAAGAATTTGAAACTTACGAATTTGTACATGTTAATGTGTATATCCTGGTCCTGCTGCTGGGAAGAGAATACTGTCCCCTTCACACCCCTTCCAATATATACCTGATCCAGAAAGAAAAACTAGTTCAGGGTTGAGAAGATCCCATTGATGCTCCGAAAAATTTAGAAATCAATCCGGTTATTCGCACTGTTACAAATCTTGTAACCTCTTAAATTCTTACATCTCAAGAATTCATTGATTAAATTTCATAGATTATCATTACATGACGTTAATAAACTGATTTAAAAACCTCAAACGTATTTAATTTGTTTTTATTAGGTTTAGTACAGAATCCGTTCTATTTAGAGCGCTATGTTGCAAACATCACCATTTCAACATCATTATTTATATTTGAAATGAAAATATAATATATACTCACCCAAGATATTTCAGATAAATATATATTACTGTTGATTTATTATTAAAATGATTCATTTAAAAATCAATAATTACTTCTTCGGACCCAGTACATTCACAACAAAGCCTAAATAGAACTAGTGTTCAGTCATGGTTAAGTGAAGTGTTTATACCAACGATGAACCATCATGATATAATGATACATGCACTATTAAATACTTATTTTAAAATTATTTAATGAAAATTCGTAAAATTCGTAGGATGATTTTTACTCAGTCAGCAAAACAAATCAAAATTCAAAGTTATCTCTAAATACTTTAATTATAATACTAGATCATTAATTTCCTAATATATTATATTGTACCTGAATCTTATCTTGATCAAGTACATATGTTTTGCAGATTTTGATGTATAAACAACTTTTGACTAAAGGCCATTTGAAGTATTATGTTTCTTTTTTAAATAGGCATATATAACGATAAACATGAGAGCAATCGCTGTTAATATCTTTTTTTATAGTTGCTTTCAAATAATTTAAATTCATTACTAATGACAATAATGAGATAAATATCATTAATTATTTTCCTCGGGAGGACTAGAAATCCCAGATAAAAGCTCGATGGAATAGGACCTGGATAAAAAATGTCTCTAAACTACTCCATATAAAAGCAAACAGTGCTAATAGCATGAAATCAAGGAAAGAGGAAATAATCCTGTGCCATGCCTCCAAATTGGTCACAGCTAATTTTCTCACGGCTAGCTACTCCACAGTTGAGAACTACCTACCAGCGTCAGATGTGGTTCCTCTAGAACCATAAACCACATACTCGTTGACTGTAAACACTATGCAGCCACAATCAATTTTGAAATAAAATATTGAGTATTATTTAGAATACACATTATCACTGTAATAATATACATATTTATTTCAATTTCAGGCCGTTCTCTTCGCACTGATCGCCTGCCCCAGAGCCGGTTATATCGGAGGCTACGCAGCCGCTCCAGCACTTACCTACGGCGCTAGCTATGGAGCCGCATACGGCTATGGTGCTGGTTACGGTTACGCAGCCCCAGCTGTTACCGCCGTAGCCCATGCTCCAGCAGTCTCCTATGCCGCTCCAGCTGTATCCTATGCTGCTCCTGCTGTTGCTACCGTAGCTCACGCTCCAGTTGCTGTTGCCCATGCTCCAGTCGCTACCTCCTATTCTAGCTCCTACAGAACAGTCAACAAGCCTGTCGCAGTAGCTGCCCCAGCTATCTCCTACGCCGCTCCAGCAGTTGCCACCGTAGCTCATGCTCCAGCAGTGTCCTATGCTACTCCAGTCGCCGCTGTAGCCCACGCCCCAGCCGTTGCCACTATCGCTCATGCTCCAGTCAACTATGGTCTCGGCCTGAGGTCTGCCAACGATCTTGGCAGCTATGGATACGGTCTTGGATACAGATCTGCCTACAGTCTTGGATACAGGTGTACCTACGGTCTTGGCTATGGATATGGTGGATACGGACTTGGAACTACCCTAGTTCATCATTAAGAAGAGGTTTAGTTGTTCAGTATCTGAATACTTACTAATCCTCTCCCAATTAATTTATACCTCCTGTAAATAAATCGTATACAATATTTACCTGTCAAATCATTTCTCAATCCTTCGGGCTGACGAAATTAATTTACTTTCTTTACATTAATGCTAAAACATTTTTCGAGTTTACAATTAAAAAGGGTCTATTACATTTACAAGCAGATTTTAATCATCCTATTCTGTATATATTTAAATGGTAATCCACTAGTGGGAAGAGTTGATACCATGTTTTAGGGATTAGAACTACTAATTTTGAAAATTATTGAGAAAACTTCGTCCAATAACAACAAAAAATGTTTTTTTTTTATCTCAACTTATTTCTAAGTCAAATGACGATGCAATTTCGTTTGAAGTGTTTTGACACTTATACTAATGTTTACATTCAGTTGTACTACTTATTACATTCAATTGTGCGAAGTCTCAAATCATGGAAACACAGTTTGATAAATCAATAATGCTGATTTATTTCATTTTTCGTTCGCTCCATTTCTGAGAGAACATACGAGGGGTTGACGATCTTTACAGAGAATCTGTTGGCATAACCTGGTCGGCTAGATTCGGCGTAGGCCAACAACACTTATAGATCGGCAAAGGCGATTCAAGTTGTTCTTCGTGCCGTTGGTGCGAAGTATGGTGTGACTTTATAAGTTCATATTTTTATAAAGATTATAAAAGTGTAAAAAATTTTCCGTAACGTAATCACATACCATTTACTCTCACGGAAAATAACTTCACTAAAATCTAAAGAAGACATATCGTCGGTGTGCATTTTTGATGTAGATTTACGTTCTTTTGAATTTCGACTTTATTCATCCTAAACACTTTAAGTGATTGCAAATGTAACATACTCTTTTATATGTCAAAGATAGTTTCTTCAAGTGTACAGTTTTCAAATTTCATAAAAACATTTATTTAAAGTTTCTAATTATTCAAAGTTATTTAATTTTACTTAATAGAAGACTCTCCTAATCAATGTATTTCTTGTAGGGTACCTTTCACAGTGAACCATATCCTAACCGAATGTTATGCATTCCAATCTCTTAGGGATCAACATCTTTTCAAAAATAGCCTTGAAGGATCACTCCAAAAGGACCCCAATGCTATTGAAAACTTAATATTGTTCCTTAAGGAAGTCAAAATATTTCACAAAATTTAATCACATCATGTAATTGTAAATATACCTGTTAAATTTCTTAAGTATGTTGGTTTCTCTTCAAATTTTAAATATATCTGTTAATTTTTCTTCTGTTAATCATATTTTTTAATTATAATGCTTTTTCAATTTTTCACCTTGTAATTTTTAATATTTAAATTGTACTTTTTAAGTTTTCTTGTTTTAATATTATTTGTGTTTTTAAACCGTATTTTTAGATTATATTCTTGAAATCATTAACATTTTATTTAAATGTTCTTGTTAACTGTTAACTTATCCTTTTCTAATCTTTAATATTTAATCTTAATGGTTCTTGTACTTTTTAATATTCATACTGTACACTATTTAACTTCACTTATATTAACATTATTTCTTATTATTTAAAAATGTATTTTTTAGCTTTTTATTAACCTTTATTTTTATTGTCTATGTTAACATATCTCCTTTTCAATCTTTAACTTTCAATTTTTATAACTTTAATTCAATTGTACTGTGATATTCATCTCCAACTATTCTAAACTTTAAATTGTATTTGTTAGCTGTAGTTTTGCTAAGAGTGTAGTAATTTATCAAGTTATAATATAGGGCGAAAAAACCCAGGTGGTTAAAGAGCCCAAAACATTTATAAATAAATAAATAAAATGTCACTTAATGAATTTTTTCAAAAAACCTTTAAGACTTGATATAAAATCTTTAAGACGTATGATTGTTTTATTCACGGTTTTTACTTTTCTTCCTCAAACGTAATTTTCCAAACTTGCTATTATCACTACTGCTGGTGATTTCTGATTGATTCGTTATCTTCTCAAAATACATATATACGATTTTTACTTCTTCTATAAGAACAATTTTACTAGGTAAAATTAGACTGTTTTATATCGTTTGATGATTTGGAGCTTTACCAACGATAGTCACTGTATAATTAATTTTATTTTACACCTTAAAATCTGAGAAGGTTTTGGTACAACCAGCACCAAATTCATCTCTACATGGTAGATATTTTTAGGGTGATAGAAGACCTTACAGATTTCATATTTTTTTTACAGTTATATTCGGTTTATATTACTCAAGAGAGCTCCATTTCATCAAATTTATATTTGGCATATTTTTATAGTATGAATAAAATGTTGAAATGGAACAATTCGTACCGACCCAACGAGCAAAGCGGGTATTCAATTTTTTTTTAAGGAGAAACCAAGTTGAGATATGTATTTCGTATCTCAGAAAACCACCAAATACGAATTTTCATAGCAATAAAAAAATATTTATTATTTACGAAATGTTAGAGAAGGGCCATAATATAAGGCCATTTGAATATTTTTTGAAAATGAGATAAAATGTTATCTATAACTTCAATACGTCTTAAGATATCAACAAAAAAATTATGAGGAATTTAGGGCTACATAAACTACACATATGACATCAACAGGACCTTCGCAAACAAACTAAGAATGGAGATAAAAAATAAAAACCTATAAGGAGTTTTTGTTTATTTATTCCGTATATAGTTGTTAAATCAAAAAACCATTCATACGTCTTTGAAAAACTATATTTCAGCTTTCCAATGGATATAGTATCATTGAATTTGGAGAACATAGTGAGGAGTAATTAATAATTTAGAGGATGAATGGTTAGCTGCAGAGGGAGAATTCCAAAAGTGAAATTGTTTTTGTTGTTGTCACCTACTCGATGATAGTTCACCACCAAGATGTCGCAGGTGCAATACAGCTTTGACAACGGTACACATTTTGGAAAATCGTCTGTCAGCATCGCCTGCCAGGCTATCGACTAGCCCTAAAACCTGAAAATCAGAAGCACTTACTTCAATTTCTGAAAAAACGAAATCACTATAGGAATATTTCAACAATACAATCTTCATAAACGAACTCATAAAGTAAATAAGAAATAACTTATGCAGCTATAACAACACGTTCTTTAAACAAATATACTAACAACAAACACATCTAAAAAAAAAAAAATTCAACACGATCCACACAGACATATTGAAATGTAATTGAATAATCAATAAGGAGCCTCTAACATATATAGCTTCACACGGCACCTAGAATATAATCAAATAAATATTTTTTTTACATAATCTAGGATGTAATATAATAAACATGATTGCATAAATACACTTTTTAGCATATTTTCACATATGAATATATGTTTTTAAAAATAACGAAAATTCATATATTTATCACATAAAGTATTTTATTCTAGTTTACTGTGAAGCAATTGGTAATTACTTAATTTGTTTTTCTTCCCTTTCTCGATTTTTAGGCCCAAGAAAAACTTCGGGCCCAGGAATTATGCCGAATTAAACGTTCCTCTGGCACCGGGATTTGAACTCTTTGATTTATCATCAGGTTGTCTAGGCAACGCGTTTTTAACACAAACAGTTAACACGCTGGGCCATCCCACCCCCATTTATTTTTAGTAATAGCTTCCAATAAAAAAAATCTTTACTGCTTGAAATCGGACTATTGCTTATATTAATCTTTTTGTAGTTCTTGAGGTCTATTATCACCCCTTAGATATTTTCCACTTCGAGACACTCCATGTAATTACAAAAGACATTTAAAATGTAATGAAATTATGTCATATAAATAAATTGTTAGCGTTGTAGAGGTATATTTGCAAAGGCAGTATGCAAGTTACCAGAAGGTCTCGACAGTGCGTGTCCAGTGTAGAGAGATAAGATGACTGAGTGGATGAAGGAAAATGTATAGAAGGATGACCTTAAGTGACTGGCGGATCAGCACCGATTATTCTCGGTCTGCGGTATAAGAGATCAAGCTTAACGTTCCGCAAGAGGATGGTAACCACTGTCACCGGAGTTATAGGAGGATGAAATACGAACGGGGGTATCAATCTCCTGACTTAGTACATAGAAATTCAAGCTGACGGATCAGCATCCAGTTTTTTATAGAGAGGGAGAAGAGGAAAAAGGTTAATGGGAACAGTGTAATAAACAGAGCAGATTCAGTTAAACCAAAAAGCGCATATGAAGGGTTCAATGAAAATCTGCGTGCTGGTCTACACCCTGAAGAGGTGGAGATTCGACGATCTAACAATATTTGATGAGATTTGACTGCGGTATTCATTTCGTCAAGACTAAACCGGCTACCAAGAGCCGTTACAATAACAGTTATTTTTGAGCTTTGATCAGTATATGTTATCGCCATTAAACTTTAAATACAAATTATTTGCAATGTGTATACATATTCCTATTTAAAATTTGAGTATTTTATAATACAACAATAAAAATAAAAGATACAATTTTTAGTACGTTGCACAGCGGCTTGTATGGCGCTGCCTGGTAGCGGGAAGGCGAACTAGTTGTACCCTGTGGCAAGATCGGGAACTAGTTTCCGCGTTAATAATTAGTGTTGTTTGTTTATAGGTTATATTGGTATATATAGATGAATATAGTTCACTTACACCGGAAGCTTCTATTATTTCAAAGTGTAAAATAATACAATTTATACAGATACTATCATTGGTAAAAAATCTAATCTTCGATCGATTTTGCTAATTAGATCGACTTTGCTCCTGTGATTTCAATATGATTACTTTATTCATTTTTGAGGGTTTTTTTCATGTACTTTTAGACAAAGCTGCATCATAGATTCCTTGGCCAGTAAAAATCTAATTTTAAATACTTGGTCCTATAACTTACACACTGCATTAACTCCTTAATATAAAAATAAGACATTTATATCTAAACCGAGAAATTCCTGTGGTGAAGTGTCCGCCGACATGTCGAGTAATTACGAAATATCGGTTGACATTGATAGTG